ATGGGGAAAGTGACCTGGATGCACAGAGAGCCTGGTATTGCTGCTCATCACCCGCCCCTCCCAGCCCAGAGGAACATTCGGAGGGGGGGGAGGGAGGGAGGGAGCAGCAACACCGGGCACTCCGTGTGTCACCAGTCACCCCCCTGAACACATTCCTCCATGGGGAGGAAGAAGGAAGAAATCTGGGCACCCCCCAGGCATTGCCTCTGTGAGTTGCTGGGGGAGGGCAATGCCCCGAAACTCCACTCCCTGCTGTCAGTCACTGTTCCGGGTGCTACCCTTCCCACCAGCAGCACACACCTCTGCACTGCACACTGCGCCCCCCTGACCACGGCACCTGGGCTGTCACACACCCCTAAGGCCAGCCCTGCTGCCCTTTACCACCTTAGTCGAAACCATGAGGCAATGTAAGGGCACATGCATGGACCCAGGGACATGACTACTTTGAAAAGCTCCGGCTCTGAGCACATGGTGCATGCACCTTACCCTCAGTGGAATACAGATAGGGACCACACGTCTCGAAGAACCTCCAGTTCCAAGTAAGTAACCTCTGCTTTCAGATTGAAGCTTTTTTTGTAACGAAAATGTTTGAAGAAAAATACTTTATTTTTTGGAATTCAAACACGTTCGTTTAAGAAAGTCAGTTATTAAATTTGTGTGCATTTAATTACATTTTCTTTCTGAAATTTGTTTCCCAGGTACAGATGTGAAGGATGCCCAGGTTATAAGTGTTTCCACAGGGACAAAATGCATAAATGGAGAATACATGAGTGACCGTGGTCTTGCATTAAACGATTGCCATGCAGAAATTATATCTCGCAGGTGCCTGCTTAAATTTCTTTACACACAACTTGAGCTGTTTGTAAGGTAAGCTTAAGGAGGCTGAGATTGTGCTATGAACATCATGTGTCTATCTGGTGATTACTTGAATTGAAACACAAAGCTAAGGAGTCCCATTGAAAAAAATATCATATAAAATAGCTGACGTTACTGACATTTTAGATTGAAAACTCTGGTCCCTGTCATAAAGTGTGAGTTGAATAAACAAAGACCCATTTAAGGAGGCATATCTATAACTATTTTGAACTCTTATATTTGTATTATGGTTCAGAAATAGTGAATTATGAGTTAATCATGTAGTTCTTTAAAGTGTAAACACATTTTAGTTATTCAACTGTTCTTTGAATTAGTAGAAATAAAATTAAAATGCCATCAAATGGACTAGCAGATGAATAGTTTTGTTTCATTTACTCATGGTGCTTTATAAGTTCGCTGGGCAATGTCAAATACTCTTTATTTCTTGTTTCTAACTTCTTTTCTTTCTGTATGGTTTGTAATAACTCTTAGGTGCCGCATTTGGTGCCAGACTTTAATAATTTTAATGTATAGTAAGTTAGACTGGGCTTAATCTCCTGCATTTGTTTCTCTTCAGGTTTTGACTACAGTTCTCTTCTTTGTTTTTATTCCAGTAATAAAGAAGATCAACAAAAATCCATCTTTATCAAGTCTGAACGAGGCGGATTTAAACTGAAAGAAAATGTGCAATTTCATCTCTATATCAGCACCTCTCCATGTGGAGATGCTAGGATTTTCTCACCACATGAAGCAGCACAAGAGGGTATGATTCTAGCTATAAAGGAATTGCTTAGCGTTTATTTGATTACAGACAAATGGCAATGTTAGAAATAAGCAGTCATTTTAATTCTGGCCTTTTGTATATGGATTTTTATTTTTATTTTTTTGGAAGAAAGCTCTCTTCTTGGAAATCTGGGCCATTAACTTTAAACTAAATGTAAACAGACAAACTGGCCATTTAGGCTAGAGCCGGGAAGATCCTGGATACTGTTAAGGATAAGCCAATAACTCACTATGTGTGTTTATGGGACTCATTGGGCTTCCTCATTATTGCTGCCTTTTAATAATTTTTGTTGCTCTTCTCTGAATTTCCTGATTTGTTAATGAGACAAAGTGAGCGAGGTAATATCTTTTATTGGACCAACATCTGTCAGTGAGAGAATTGGTCCAATAATAGATATTACCTCATTCACCTTGTCTTTCTAATATCCTGGGACCAACGTGGCTAAACTTCACTGATTTGTTAATTTCATTCTAGCACTGAAATGCACAGAACTGAACTTCAGAACTAAATACTATATCTGAGATGTTCTTTCCTGAAAAGCTTGGTTTAATAGCAAATGTATTTTGGAGAATATTGTATACAAGAAAGATATTTGATGCTGTAGCTAAATTAAAATGAGTAATAGAAATTGCTACCAAACGTTGTGACCTTTTCCAAGATGGTTACCAGCATAAAATACATTGCCTTCTCTCATTTCATAACCACTCCTTCTGGACAGTTGTTTTTCAATTGACTTAAAACAATCTTTGTCATTTAGATCAGGGAGACAGACATCCAAACCGTAAAGCAAGAGGACAGCTACGGACAAAAATAGAATCTGGAGAAGGGACAATTCCAGTCCGATCTACCACTACCATCCAGACGTGGGATGGAGTATTACAGGGAGAGAGACTGCTTACTATGTCTTGCAGTGACAAGATAGCTAGGTAAGACATTACGTGTTTGGTTACTCTTCCCTGCTATTCTGGTTTTATTCTGAAAATGGGGACCCTGGTTACAGCTTGCTGGAGGGCGTACTTAATATCTGCTTTCCGCATAGCGTGAACATCTGGATGGATGGCAATTCTACATTGTTTTCAGATGTCATGTTGACAGTGTCTTGTCTGAATCACTCATTAGTTGACCCGGGAGGTGACAGTAGAGGCTGTAGATCAAGCTTGTTGTCTAACCCCCCAGCATGAGATTAGATGCTCTGATTCTGCTCCCATTGAAGTCAGTGACAAAATTCCCATAGGCTTCAGTGGTGAGGCTCAGGCCCAAGAAGAATAGGAATCATTTATTCCATCCAAAACTTATCCCACAAGCATATTTTCTCTCTTCAAGGTGGTAGAGTCTAATTTACCAAATTTGCTACTTTGTTATATCTGCCTCATTTTGTATTGTTAATATCTTGATTATTATTATTATTGAAACATGCAGTTTTCATCAGCCATAATATGGTATTGGCAAAATATATAATTCATGAGTGTGTGTGTAAGTCATACTGGTATACAACTTTTATCAAAATATAGAATATTCCAATGTGTTGTAGATATATGTCGTGACAGACCCAGACCAGTGGGGTACAGGAGTCTGGTAGAGGGCAAATATACTGGTCACTGGATGAGTAGTTTTCTGTTCCCTGAGTGACCAGAGAAAGGGGCTGCACTAGAGTAATCAGGAACCTGCTAGAACCAGTTAAGGCAGGCAGGCTAATTAGGACACCTGGAGCCAATTAAGAAGAAGTTGCTAGAATCAATTAAGGCAGGCTAATCAGGGCAGCTGGGTTTTAAAAGGAGCTGACTTCAGTTTGTGGTGGGAGTGTGAGGAGCTGGGAGCAAGAGGCGCAAGGAGCTGAGAGGGTGAGGCTGTGCTGTGCTGTGCTGCTGGAGGACTGAGGAGCACAAGCGTTATCAGACACCAGGAGGAAGGTCCTGTGGTGAGACTAAGGAAGGTGTTTGGAGGAGGCCATGGGGAAGTAGCCCAGGGAGTTGTAGCTGTCATGCAGCGGTTACAGGAGGCACTATAGACAGCTGCAGTCCACAGGGCCCTGGGCTGGAACCCGGAGTAGAGGGCGGGCCCAGGTTCCCCCCAAACCTCCCAACTGATCTGGACTGTGGGTTCTTCCAGAGGGGAAGGTCTCTGGGCTGTTCCCCAACCCACACGGTGAATCTCTGAGGCAAGAAAATCCGCCAATAAGCATGAGGCCCACCAAGATAGAGGAGGAACTTTGTCACAATGTCTATATAGTGCATATGTAAGTGTAAATGTACAATATCATTTTAAATGGCAAAACATCATTAGTTAAGAACCTATTACGTGGTTGATACAGTTAAATGTGACCTTTTTAAAAAAAAATTGAATGATTGGAAAATCTTTTAATCAAAGTAGTGTTTTCCTTTGTGAAAATGTGACACTGATTTATTTTTATTTTGTTTTTGTTATTGTGCTCTTTCATTAGTTAAAGATTTTGTTCAAATTTAAACAAACAAGCTCAACCAACCCATGCCCCCAAAATTAAACAGCTGTATCCTCTGAAAAGTGTAGCAACCTCAGGGAAATTCCAGGAAAATGCCGAGCTGGCTTTTCAGACCAGCGCGACATGTTCACAGTACACCAGAGGGTCCCACAAATCACACAAAAGAAATGGCAGCCTTTCTAGTTGAGGATATTGTTCATGTCCTTTTATTTTTTTGAATAAAAAGTAGTTTGTGAAATTTATCAAACCAGAATTAATTGATTAAAATATTGTTAAATACATTTGTAAAATACAAAGTGGGTTGAACATATTCACTGTGCTGTGTAAGCGCTATATGAGAATTAAAACCACAGAGAGAGGTCTACTTGCTTGATTCTCCATTCTCTGTCCTTGTGGGAGAACTATCAGGGTTCCTATAGCGTGTGAGAAAAGTATGATTTTATATGTTAAACGTCTATGAATAAGTCAGGACCTGTTGGGAGAGGGTAAAATCTCCATTTCTAAAATGTTACACTACTTGCAAACCTTCATTCCTTACTGGTTCCAGAATATCCACTGAATAAAATATGGTTACACACTGAAAATTGATTCCATAAGAATGACATGTGCATTCCTTATTTATTCTTTACAATGACTGGCCAAGCAAATTTCCTAGCTTACAATTCAAGGTGACATACTTAACTGCCAACTCTGTAAACTCCATCTGAGACATGAAAACTGTGTTTGTATTCATCACCCGTTAAAAAAAAACAGATTACTCATTCATTTGACTATTTTGTTGATTCTGTGTGATGCAATCAGAATCCAGGTCACTCTCTCATAGCTAGTTGTTGTAATTCAGGGGGGTAACCAGAGTAAAAATTTGTGTGTGTCACTAAAGAAAGCACATGCGACCCTGAGACACATAGAGGGGATGCTGTATGAGGAGTAAGGAGGCCCAGTGTTTACATTTATAGTCATGTTCTGCCAATTTCACTGTAATGGGTTCATTACTATGCAATTTCCAGTATTCAGTACCATACCATTACTAACAAATTTCAGATGCCATTGGGTTTCCATTGGGATTTAACAAAAGATATGACATTATGAAATACTTTAATGCATAAAAACTGTCCAGTAATGATACAAAAGTTGCATTATGTTCAAACTTTATGTATTTTGGTAAAGATAAAGATTACTTGCATAGTAAATCCTCTAGTCTGGCAAAGACTATTGAGTTAACTCTGCCCATAGAAGGTCATACAGGCAACTCACTGATTAAACTTTTTGGCTCCTGAACAGCTCCCTCTGTATATTCTAAGCTAAGCTACAACGTTACAGCCCTGTCCTCTGCCTCTGGTCCCTCAGTAGCAGCTTGCTACTGGGCTGGTTCAGCTATGAGCCTGTTAAGAATGCTGCAGGCCTCTAGGAAGTGCCGCTATCCATTCATGCTTTTATCCTCTCCGTTCTTGTCTTCTCTCCGGTCTTCACAATGAAGAAGTCTGGAGTGGTCAGTGCTGCAAACTCAGTGCAGACCATTGACCATCGGAGGTAGGCCCACCATTCATCAACATTAGCTCACCTCATTGACACCTGCCCGAGTCTCTCAAGCTGCAGCTATTCCATTCCCAAGCTTGATAACTCTTTGCTCCAAAGGGATCTCCTCCCAAGGGGATCTGAACATCCAAAGGGATCTCCTCCCAAGGGGATCTGAACATCCAAAGG